AATCACTTTCTTTTGTATGTAGAGAAATTGACGTCCCCTTGTTTTTTGCGATGGTAAAAAATGACCATTCATAAACTATTAATCTTACTATATTCAGTGTATAATATACTAATTTTATTAGTTTTTGACTTTCAATTAGAATTTGCCTCTATCCATTTTTCCTGCGCTCATCGCCCAAGGAAAAAATTTTCTAAGACTACTAGAAGGGGAAAATTTATTCTCTACCCCAGTTATGGACTTGTCTAATGAAAATTTTATTCAGAATTTATTTTCCATTTATATTATTTAAAGAATGTTCTTTTTGAAATTAAATTTTTTCACACAATACGTTTCATTCGTTTGAAACTTTTAAACATTCTATTTGACAATTATTTTAAACTTTCTAAAATGTGTTTAAAACTTTTTAAAACATTTTAAAAATTTGTTAAATTGTTTGAAACTTTTTAAAACATTTAAAAAATTTGTTAAATTTGTTTAAATTTCGTTTACAAATATTAAAAATCTGTTCCGAACAAAGATTAAAAAAAAAAAATTTATATTTAAATATTTCTGCACCGTTTTTTTTTTAAATTACGATTTTTAGGATCATTTGGACCTAAAATCGGTTTTAATCAATAAAAAATCAAGTAAAAGCGCGAATAAAAAATAAAAAATTTTTTGTGACGTCAAATGGAGATTATTGATGCAAAATTTTTCTCTTGTGAAAAGAACAATTCATTAAAGAACAGAAAAACTGTAACTGCTGGAACTGTAACTATTTCTTGGCGTTGTGAAATGACAGAGAAAAAATGTAGCAGTTCTAAGATTATCGATGATATGTTTAAAAATAGTATTTTTTTTTAATACGATTGTAGATCATGTACTTGACATGACCGGTTTACCCCACTTACGCAATATTTCTTCAAATAGAAAAATCCTTTTTGTCATCCAGAAAAAAATGGAACTCAAAAACGGAAATTACTTTTCAGCAAAAAACTTTTTGAAAATATTTTTTTATTTTTACTAATACCTTTTTAAATAAAAATTTTTAATTTTAATTCAATCAATTATTTTTAATAATTTTCGAAAAAGTTCTTTAATAATTTTTAAATCTATTTGTTTAAAATTCAATTTTACGTAATTTCGATTGTTCGTAAATTCTTCAATTAGGTAAATGTACATTAAAAAATAAAAAATTTAAATAATTTCAAAAAAATAATCCGCAATTAAACTTTTTCAAAATTCAATTGTTTATCAAAATCCACGCAATATTGCTTTTAATTTTAATATTCAATTATAATCGAAAATTTTAACTAAAATTCGTTTTCAAATAAATTTTTATTTGAAAATTCTACGGGAATTAAATTATTTAAATACAAAAACAAATAATTTATTCAATAATTGAATGTTTCTTAAAATTCAGTTCTCATATATAGAATTATATCAATAAATTATTATAAAATTGAATTATTTTGACAAATTTTAATACAATTTTTAAGAATAATTACATTTTTCAACAAATTCGATTAAAACTGTGTTAAAAATAATTGAAATTCTGCCATGAGTTTTATTATTAAAAATAATTGAAATTTCAATTATTATTATTTTGAAAATAATTGAATTTCTGCAATAATTTGTAACTCTTCATTTTTAATAATTTTCGAAAAAATTATTCGATAATTTTAAAATCCATTTGTTTAAAATTCAATTTTACGAAATTCTGAATATTCGTAAATTCTTCAATTAAATGTATATTAGAAAATAAAAGCAACAAATAATTTAAAAAAAAAATCCAAAATTAAACTTTCTCAAAAAAAAATTAATTTCAAATATTCAATTATTTGCAAAAATTCACGCTATAGGTAATGCTTTAAATATTCAATTATAATCTAAAATTTTTAATTTAATTCATTTTTAAATCAACTTTTAATAGAAAATTCAACTAGAATTTAATTAGGTATTTAAGTACAATAATAAATAATTTTAATTCTAATAAAGCATCTTATTAACAAATTTTTAAACAATTGAATTCTTTTGACTAATTTAATTTTAATAAAATTTTCAAGAATCATGAAATTTTTAAAAAATTTGATTAAATTTGTATTAAAAATAATTGAAAGTGTGTAATGAATTTTTTATTATTTATGAAAATAATTGAATTCCTGAAAAGAATTTTAGTACGAAATAATGGAAAATTAAGAAAATAATTTAATCTCTGTAAAAATTTTATTATTTATGAAAATTATTTAATTATTGTGCTGAAATTTCTAAAAAAAATTTGTAAATAATTGAATTTCTGGAAAATTTTTATTATTTTATGAAAATAAATAAATGTTTGCGTAGAATTTTTTTAAAATTTTGTTCTAATAATTGAATTCTATTGGGAAATTTTTATTAAAATAATAAATATTAAAAATGATTTAATTGAGGATAATTTTTAAAAATAATTGAAATTTTTCCGAGAATTGTATTAAAATTTTTGAAAATAATTAAATTTTGGAGAAGAATTTTATTTTATTTCTAAAAATAATTGAAATTTTGACTAGAATTTTCAAAAATTTTAAAACGATATTGAATTTCTGGAAAGAATTTTATTATTTTTGAAAATAATTGAATTTCTGCAATCATTTGTAATTTCTCTAAAATTCTCCAAATTATGTCGTACAATTTACGATCTTTTTGTCCTTTTTCTATCAAATTACGGACTTTACGGACCTTTTTAAAAAAAAAACAGACTTTTACGGACTTGAAGCAAATTTACGGACCTTTACGCGATTTTTAATATTAAAATTTTTTTTATAATTTCTTTTCTATTTAAATATATAGAAAAATTAAAAAAATAATTTTTTCTGTAATTTTGTTTCTACATAAATATAATATAGAAGAATTAAAAAAATTAATTTTCTTATAAATCGAGATTTGTTAGTACTTGGCATGTTTGTCTAAAGCATAAATTTGGAAATCGTGTGATTGACACCCATTTAGCACTCACTAAATCATTCTAAACCCGTTATCGTGTATTAAGCTTCAGATTAAATTTTGTGCAAATTTGTTTGTCTTGGTAAAATTTACTTTGAACGTATTAGTAAAATTTACTTTGAAAATGGAAAACGCTTCAAAATTTACTGAGTAAAAAAAAAATTACTAGAAATAATAATTTTTATTTATTCATTCTGTTATTGTTCTAAAATTTTATTATTCATAAATAGACTTAAGTTAAAAGTATTTTTGTTGAAAATAAACCAAATAAAGTCGAAAGAAACTAAAAAATAGCAAAAAATAAAAAACTAAAAAAAAAGCTAAAACACTTCAAAAATATGTAAAAAACTAAAGAAGCTAAAAACGATTAAAAAAAATTACAGCCACAAGTTCATTAATTTCTTTTTCGTAAATGCTTTAATTACCTTTCTAAATTGTATCTCAATTCAAAAAGACTAACCATAACTTCACAAACGAAGAAAACTTATCACAAAAAAAAAATAAATAAATAAACGAAAATCTAACTTTAATTTCACAAACGAAGAAAATTTACCACAAAAAAAAAAATAAATATTATAAATAAAAACAGTAAATTATTATTATTATTTTCAGTCGAGTGAGAAATAGATGACATTTTTAAATATGCGGGAATTGGATCGTGAATAAACGTGTAATTAACGTTAATGGAATGAGGGAAAAATAAACAGTTGTAACTTTAAGAGGGGACATTTCTGTCTTCAAAGAGGGAAAATTATCCCTTTTCCAAGGGATAAGAATTGTCCATTATCACTAGAGAGAGATTTATGACATATTTGTGCTCCAATTCATCTGCAACTATTTTACCCAACTATAATTAAGCTTTTTGACTCCCACACTAAACTTTACTTTACACTTTACTTTAATGTCAGGTTGAACTGTATAATATAGACCAAGATATTTTTTTCGAAATATTTTCCCCTTCTTTTTGCAATTAAATAAATTTTTTTAAGTCTAAAAAATTTTTTTCAAATGTAAAGAATTTTTTTTAAATCTTAAAAAATATTTTTTAAATCTAAAGAATTTTTTTTATACCTAAAAAAATACTTTCGAAATCTAATAAATTTAGTTTAAATCTTAAACAATAAATTTTATTGTAAAAAATATGAATTTTTGTGTAAAAATTTTAAGAGTGGAGTAAAAATAATGAAATAAGAGAAAAGCATTAAAATAGAGGTAAAAATATTTAAATTGGGAGAAAAATAGTAAGATAGGAGGACTATAAAAATATTAAGATAGAAATAAAAATATAAAAATGGGAGTATTATGAAATTTTACTAATAAATTAGTAGAAATTACTATTTATTAGTAAAATTTACTAATTAAAATGCAAAAAGTCAGTCACAAATTTAGAGATTAGTAAACATTTCTCCTAATTCAAATTTAGAGAGAAAAAATATTAAATTAGGAGTAAAAATATTAAAATAGAAGTAAAAATATTAAATTAGGAGAAAAAATATTAAAATAGATGTAAAAATGATAAAATAGAAGAAAAATATTAAATTCAGAGTAAAAATATTAAATTAGGAGAAAAAATATTAAAATAAAAGTAAAAATATTATCTTAGGGGTAAAAATATTAAAACAGATGTAGAAATTTTAATTTAGGAGAAAAATATTAAAATAGGTGTAAAACTAATAAAATGGAAGTAAAAATATTATTAATTTAGGAGAAAAAATATTAAAATAGGTGTATAAATAATAAAATAGAAATAAAAAATATTAAATTCCGAATAAAAATATGAAATTATGATTATCGTAAAAATATAATAAATGAGGAGAAAAATATTAAAATAGCGGTAAAAATGTTAAAATAGGAGAAAAATATTAAAATAGAAATTTGATAAAGAATTATCAAAAAAGAAGTAAAAATAAATAAAAAGAAAAGAGAAAAAAAGCGCACAAAAATTGGGATATTAATCATTTAAATTATATCTTTGGGCATTGGATTTTTCACATTTGTTTTTGACTTGACTGTTCCGATATGGCCAGTTGGGAATTTTCCCTTCAGGCTTCGCCATTTCTTGTTCCGAAAGCTCCCCAGACGAGATTTCTCCTCTGTCTCTTTGACACAAATGATTTTAAGGGATCTACAATGCTTTCAGGTAAATCCCAAATAAGACGTAAAAACCTTTTGGAAAATGCAATTTTTTTTCTCCTTATTCCCGTTTTTTCGTTAAATTTTTTTTTTTCGACAAATTTTATCAAATTTATTTAAAATCTATTCATTAATTAAAGAGAACTTATCGACTTTCGCTATTTAAATCTAATTATTACTCTTTTTTCAAATTTATTTAAAATCTATTCATTAATTAAAAGAACTTATCGACTTTCGCTATTTTAATCTAATTATTACTCTTTTTTTATTAAATTAAATATCAAATATTGAATATAATTCAGTGTTTGAAAAAGGCTATACAGGAAATTAAATTAAATATTTATTTATTTGTCCAAAGCTATACATACGGGCGGGCGTGATATTTAAATATTTAAAAAATAAATATATACGCAATAAATTGAATGAAATACTTAGACAAGTATGTATAGTGGGATTAAATTAAATATTGAAAGAAAGTTTATAAAAAATTAAGTTTTCAGAAATAAATCGAAAATTATTTATTGTTACTTGTTATTGATATAATTTATTAAAAACAATAGAATTATTTCGTTTTTTTTTTATATTTTAAAATTTGTTCCCCTTTTTAATAGAATCTACATATCAAATGTCCATTTAATTGAAAAACGTGAAATACAAAGTTTTATGAAATTTTTCGAAATCAAGTCAACGAGATTAATATCATTTTATTGACTTTCAAACGTCACTCACAGTATTTTGTCACATATTGATCGGAATTTTTCATCATTAAACATTTATATAAAAGACTTCAGACATATTTCGTTAAAAAAGTCACTAATGCTTTATTAAAACAAAAATTTAAATTTTAAAAAACAATTTAAGTGAACAAATTAACTCAAAGAAAAAAAAATAAAAGACAATAAAATTATCGATGAGAAAAGTACATTTAAAATTAAAATACGTTTATATTAATTGGCAAACTCTATAAATTTGATTATAAATAATTCTAGAATTACGATTATTTACGAATATCTTGAGATTGAAGATGAAAATTCTATTCTCCACCTGAGAACGCCAAGGTCACCGTCAGATGTCGGATTAGTCGATAAAATCAGATTTCTCGCCATCTAGTGGCGATCTTGGCGTTCTCAAGTGGAGAAATTTTATTTTATCCCACAAAAGCTTTTTTATAATTAAAAAATTAATTAAAAAAATAATTTAAAAAATAATTAAAAATTTAAAGTAAAAATTAATTAAAGATTTAGGGAAAAAATACTTTAGTTTCCGTATACAAGAGGAGAAATTGTTGCAGAAGGAAAGAAATCTTCTAAAATTAGAACTTGTTGACTATTAATAGAGTAAAAAGAGAAAAATTTACTTTTTTCTTTTTGGCGTGAAGATTTGTAATCGTATAACATTTTTAAATTATGAATTTCTTTCCATCTATCAAAATTTTTTGCTGTCTCATTTTCCTTCCTCTTTTTATAAAGAAACAAGTTTTTGTTGTGATGAACTTATTTTTCTGCCACTTTTTCATCAGTGACTAAATGAATAAAACATCTCATTCTCACGTTGTATATTTATTTTCCAGAAGGTGTAGATATATGTCGATTCAATTGGTGCGAAGAAGTTATTTTCATAACCCCTAGACACTTTCTAGTAAAGGTCAGTTGCAAAATATAGAAAGATTCAGAAAATAAAAAAAAAGGAAATGATTTTTTTTTTACTCCTGGGAAGGAAAGTTTGTTCTCCCATCAAAGATAGAACTAAAAATTGTTTATAGTACGAATAAATAATAGTTAATAATTTAAGAGAAAGAAATGAAAATGAATTCTTTTTTGAAGATTCGAATTTCAGTTTTGTTAATTTAAGAGAAAAAAAAAATTTTTTTTTTAAGAAAAAATTGTAAAAAATATAAAAGAAATTTTTTTTCTAATTTCGAGAGTTAATAGAGATGTTGAGGACATTTTTTAAAATTTATGTTTTAAATTTCTTTAATTTCGGTTTGGAGAGAGAAAGGGGGATAAAAAATGCTAAGGTCGTTTTTTATAAAGCACGTCTCGCTAACTCTTCAGAAGTTTTAACCACTCGGCAAGTGGTGTGTTATTACAAGCGTTACGTGAGAAACACAAATGGAATCTAAGTGTCTCTATATTGAGAAAAAAATAGCACTTTTTTGAAAAACTTTTAGAGAAACGAATGTTAACTTGCCTCACACGAACTCACTGTCTATTTCTATTCTTAATTCTCCTCTTATACTTCTTTTTTATTTTATACTATAAATAAAACTTTTCTGGGCTAATCTTTCTTGAGATTTTTTACTCAAACCTCAACATTTTTTTTTTTTTTTTGCATTTTTCCAAAAACATTTAATTCTCCTCTCTTCGCTAATTAGGGGAAAATTAATTAAGTTTATTTAAATTTTATTTTTAATTAATATTAATTAAGTTTATTTAAATTTTATTTTAATTAAAATTAATTAAGTTTATTTAAATTTTATTTTAATCAAGGGGAGTGTTCGTCTTCATTTTTAACTATATCTAGAAAATGATTTAAATCTTCTATAAAATTATAATTTTTATAGTCATTTTTTTAGCGAAATTCAATGGTCAAAATAATAAAATCGATATTCGGACAAAAAGTAAAATAAAAAAATCCAAAAAAGTTAAAAAAAAATTATTTTTTGTCCAAAGAAATTAAAAATCCGATGAAAAAAATTGAGATATAAACATTTAAATGGTTGCCTTGAATGAATGTGTCCTTTTTTTGAGTTGATAACTCATTTCGATGACTAATCAAAAATAAGTAAACTTAACATTTTAAACTGAAAATAATTAAATTAATCGAGTAATTTAATTGAAATTATATTGAAAAAAATAATTTAATTTTTATAAAGAATTTTATCAAAATTGTTAAAAATAATTGTATTTCTGAGAATAATTGTTTTTAAAATTAATATATTAATAATTAATTTATAATTAATGTTTAATATGTTTATATTAAAATGTAAAACATTAAAAATATCAACTATATTACATAATTATTATTAATTCGAAGGTGAATTACATTTGGAACAGATTTTAATAATTTATGTCTAATGTATCGATTAATTCATAAATGTAAACAGACGATATTGGGAAGCTAATTATAATTTTCATCCATCCGGTTGGATCATGAATATCAATTTCACTACTAAATTACTAATAGAGAAATATTTTAGAAAATTAATATTGATAGTACAAAGGAATATTTTTATTAAATTTTTGCTTTTGAAGGGCATGAAGAAAGAAGAAAAAGTCGAAAATATAAAATTTATAAAATATATAAAATTTATAAAATTTATAAAATTTATAAAATTCACAATAAGATATATTTACGATTCTCGAGCATTTAAAGGAATACATTTTTAAATAGGACAAATTGCACTTTATGTGAAAAGCAGGTTTCAGACATTCATCTTTATATTGCAAGTAGAATTACTATACATTGCACCTTGTTAGCTTTTAAGTTAATAAACCTTTGGATCTGACGGGGGTAGAATTTTTTTTTTTTTTTTGTTCTCCAGATAACTTCCAGTTTCGTATTTTCTAAAGGACTTGTGCTTTTACAGAGTGAGAGGGAAAACCACACGATTTATATATATATGTATGTGTAGACTAATTTGTAGATTCAATTATGTATCATGCAACATAAATCAGGAGTTTACGACTTTTGAATTTTTTTTTTAATTTTACACAAACATGGTTAATTTTTTTTTGTAGAGTGAGAGAAATTTTAATTGAGGTACTTCTGAAGAGTTTTTTTTTGTTTAACACCATTTTTAATTCCGGTTAATTTCGAATTTTATTCAATTTACATTTTTTTTAAATTTCAGCTCTTGAAATAAAGAAAAAAAAAAGAAATGATGGAATAAAAAATAAAAACATAAAATTTTTAATTTTGTACACTTCGTAGATATTTATATGTACGAATTGACTTTTCGCCCGTATATTTTAAAATAAACAAAGAAAGAAAAAATAAAAGTGGAAATAAAAATAAAAAATTAAATTAAAAAAATAAAGAAAGGATAAAATTTTTCAAAGAACTGTAATAAGTCTTCGAAAATGGTTTCAACATTCTTTTATTACAAAATCTAGTTGTTAGTTTCAAAATCAATTATTGAATAGTCGAAATGAAATTTCTTTTGTCCTTTTAGAATTTTTCCAAATGGATTTAAATTTTAAAACACTTATAGAATTTGAAAGCATGATGACACTTCAGTTGGAAGCTTTTATTCAATTTACTTCCTAATATAATAGTATATCCTTTTCTGTATTCTTCTCTCAAATTGTACACTAGAATCAAAATTATTTTCGAAATTTCGTTAGTAATTTTGATGAAAAAAAAATATTTTTCTCTCTGTATTTTATATATAACAGAATAAAATAAATAAATTGTTGTATTTTGAATTATAAATTTCGGACAAAAAAAAAAAAACAAAAATTTCTCTCCCTTTGATGAAACGAACTTTTAGGATGCATTAACGAATCATAAAGTTGAATTTTATTTTTTAGCACGCAGTAATTGAAGTGAAAAATTAATGAAATTTTTGATATTAATTCATTTACTGACAATGTACCTTCTTTAGTATTTTTATATATTTTTTTTATACGAAATTTTATTAAAGTGGAAAAACTGAATGTTTCATCATTAATTAGATAAAACTGAACAAAAATGAGAGGGAAAAAGAAATTTACTCTTTAATTAATATTCTATTGTTAGTGTATTTAAAAATAAACTATATAAAAAATACGACGAGTGAAAAAATATTTTTATTGTTTATTACAATCTATCCTTTTTTCTTATAAAAAATAATTTCTCTTCCATATTTTCATAGAAAATAATTTTACTCATTTTTTACAGAACCATCTGCATGCTTTTTCTGTATTAAATCTATTTCCATTTCCGCCGTTTCCACCATAGAAAAAGGGAATACATTTATTTTCATTTTTATCAAAACCATAATATTCCTTCCAATCGGCACCATCACCATTATTAATCTCAAGCAGACAATCTGTAAAATAAATTTTTATTTAATTGTTTTTTATTTCTTTACACAAAAATAAAAAAAATTTTTAATTTACTTTTTATTTTTTTACGCAAAAATAAAAGTTTTTCTTTGATTTCAGTAATTTTTGAAAATATAAATTACCTTCTTTACTGTGCTGTTGGAGAATCGCACCTTCGTCCACTGAATTAAACAGAAAATGTAAGTTTAAATTGAAGTTTCACATTGAGATTAAAAGTTTTAGAAAATTTTGAAAAAAAGAACTCACTGGGTTCACAGTGATCTATACAGTTTTCATAAGTTTGAAATCTGTTTCCGTTACCACCTCGTCCTCCATAATAAAATTCCTCGCATATTCCATTCTCTTGATTATATGCGAATTTTAATGACCAATTCTCATAACGACCGGAATCCCATTTCAGTAAACATACTTTGAATAAAATTTTCCTTATTTTAGTTACAATTTACAGGTTTATTGAGAATTTAAAAATTAATTTTTGTAAATAAAAGAAAAACAACGAGAAAAAAAATATTTTTTAATGATCGAGAAAATATATATTTAAAAATTTTTTTAGTAAAAAGACTTACCCTCTTTAGGTAACAATTCAGGAGGAACTTCTTCCTCGTCTGTAATAAATAATATTATAAAGTAAAATAATAATACAATTATAATAATAGAAAAATAATTTTAAAAAAATAATAATAATAAAATACTTTCTCCATGAGGAAGCAATATAATAATTATACAATAATTTTATAGAAAATTATAATAAAAGTAGGTATAATTAATGAATTCTATGTAAGAGAGAAACTAACGAGTACGAGACTGAGAGAAGCGGCCCCCCACCATGCGCACCTCCTTCCCACTCTTCTTCGCGTGGTGGGGGGACGCTTCTCCTTGCCTACTACTCACTCGAATCCCACGTAACGTTTTTATTACTAAATTAACTATATAAAAAAAGTTATTTCAAATTAAATTCCAAAAATATTTTTATCCAACTTTACCAGAATCGCAGATATTTATACAATCGTCTAATTTTTCAAATCTATTCTCATTGCCACCACTTCCTCCATACCAGAAATTTTCACATTGCCCGGCAGTTTTATTAAACCAATAATTAACAGTAAAATCTTCATCGGGACCACTGTCAAAATCGAGGAAACATTTTTCTGCCTTCTGAGAACTCAAAACTCCTTGAACTAAAAAGAAAAGAGAAACAAATTATTATTAATTTATTTTTAAATGTATAATTTTTTAAATTAAAATCTTTTAAAATTTATTTAAAAATTAAAATCTATTATTTATTAATAAAATTATTAAGTGAAATAAATAATAAAATAAAGAAGTATAAAATAATTATTAAGGAAAGGGAAAAAATAAGTCTCAAGTTATTTTTGACTAACTGAAACAAATTTGATAAATTAATAAAATAAAATTATTAAATATAAATTAATTTTAATTAAAGTTTGATTCAAATAAAAACATTATTCACGAGTAATTTTTTTTCAAATCGTCGCACAATAACTAATGTAATTTTTTGACTTACCGAGAAAGAGTACAAACAATGAGAATGAGAAATGGGAAACAATAAGTTGCATTATGAAAGTTATTTCTTGCAAGAGAAACGATACAAGTGAAGTTATATACCATTCAGTGGCTGTTAATATATATTTCTCCTCATTTTTCAAAAACAAATATTATCGATTATGAATTATTAATATATAGGTCAGTAAATAATTTAATTCACTTGTCTCAATCTTATCGTCTCTCATCTGCATAGTAATTTTGATTATTTTTAAAAGAAATTATTCGAAAAGTAAAATAATATTGCTTTCTTACAATTTCTTTTTATTTCCTGCTTTTATGAAAAACAATCATTTTATTTATAATAATAATAATAATAATAATAATAATAATAATAATAATAATAATAATAATAATAATAATAATAATAATAATAATAATAATAATAATAATAATTATTATTATTATTATTATTATTATTATTATTATTATTATTATTACTATTATTATTATTTTATTTTGTATAAAAAACCATTTTAGAAATGTAAAAAATAATTTTGAATAGAAATAGAAAAAAACAATTCGAAATAGAAATATAATTACTTATTTTTTTCCTATAAGATTATAAAAAAGAAAAAAAAAGAGAAGAGTTTCTTCTACAAAAATTAAAAATTTCCATTGTGCATTTTTTTTTCGCTTCTATATAAACAAATTGATGGCCTGTTCTCGATTTTTCATTCATTCATTCTTTTTTTTTTTGTATTCGCCATTTCCCAATAACTTGTGGGAAATTTCTATAGGATATCTTTAAAAGTTAGAAACTTCATAAATCTTTTCTTGCGAAAGTATACAAAAAAATATATACTCAAGAATCATCAATAATGAGGTCAATTCTTTCAGTATGCTTTCTTTTCTTTCACTTCCTTCATTCATCAAATATTCTCACAGCTGTCATTAAAAAAATATGTTTAGAATGACACAAAAGAAATAATTACGTTATATACGCACGAATTTCGCAATAAAAAAAATATTTGCCCACACAAAATCTATTATATTAATTCAAAATACAGTTTTTTTTAAAGAAATTTTTTTCCCCTAATATTTGTATATGAAATTTTATTCACATTTATTTCTTGCGCAAAAAAAAACATCTGTTTGTAAAGCTGAATCGAATTTAAATGTTTCCTTTTCAATTTGAATTCTACGTAAATTATCGCAATTATTTCTTCCAAATGAATAAATTTAATTTATTACGAAATTAAATAATAATACTGAAAATTTAATATAATAATAATAATAATAATTAGTAACGAAAAATTAAAAAAATATAATATATTTAAATATTAAAAATAAAAAGACAAGTATATAAAAAATAATAAAGAAAAATCTACTGCCTGACTTATTAATTATATGTTCCAAGATAAATGAAATGAATTCATTACGAAATGGGTTTTAATTCCAAAAAAAAAAAAAATATTGTATATTCAAAAAATATTAAAATACCCCGTTGACCTAAAAACTAAAAAGAAAAATCACATATTTCAACAACGAAGAGAGATGTAAAAGATATAAAATAATATAATATTTCTTGTTAGACGCCGAGTCATGAAAGTTGCCGGTACAAAATCCTTTGAGATTGATGTCTACATTTTACAGAAACTTAAAATGCACAAATTGTTCGCATAACAAATTTTTCTTCTCTTCGGCCATTTTTTTTCTTTATACACTTTATATTAAAATACAAAATACTTAACATTTACCAAATTTTTTATCAAATTGTCAATTCAATAAATAAGACAATTTCAATTATAATCCCCGTACAGTTTAAATTTTTTTTATTATAATTTTTAAGGACACGTGACATATTCATCCATATAATGTAAATAATTTATTCTCCACATGATTTCTTATCAGAATAATTTTGATGCAAATTTTTATATTTTTGACATTTTGCTTATAAATTAAAGTTATATTTAAACTTATATTTTTCTTCATTTGTTTACAAAAAGAAAAAAAAAAATTGGTGAAGAATATTTTAGATACACTTGATCTAAATTGCCTTAAGCGTACAACATTATATCCCGTCCAATTAGTTCAATCTTCATTTCAAAGTGTCAACTGTGTTTCTGTTGATGACAGATAAATCCATTTTGGATCTCTAGCAAATTTGTAGCAATAGGCAAATCCTATATGCAAATCAGAATTCAAATATCTCGATATGTTGTTGTTAGATTAGAATTTAACAACATATTCTAGACAGATATCTATTTCAGCTACTAAAGCGTTAAATTTCCTCAAAGCCTTTACTAAACATTGCTTTAACATTCTCCTTCAGTGATGTGTTTGAACAGATGTTTGGAATTATAAAAAGAAATATTTTTTTTCAGTTCAAATACTTTGGAAATTTTACTAATTATTTATTTAAACTCTGAACCGACTTAAGAATAAAAAATAAAAAGAAATATATAAATCAATTCAAAATATTTACTATTATTTATTTATTTTCATTTTTTATTTGTTAATACATTTATTTTCATTTATTATTTCTCTTATTTAAATTTTTATTTAAATGCAAAACGGGATTACGAATAAAAAAAAATTAAAAAATAAAAACCAAATATTTATAATTATTTATGTATGTACATATTTATTTATTTTCACATTTTATTTTTTAATACATTCATTTATGTTTATTATTTCTTTTACATGAATTTTTTTTATTTAAATTACAATCGAGCTTACGAATAAAAAATAAATATAAATATATAAGTAAATACAAAATATTCACTTTTATTTATTATTTATTCGTTAATAAATTCATTTTTATATTTATTTTTATATTTATTATATTTATTGTAATAATTATATTTACAAGAGAACTTGTATTTGTACTCGTATTTGTACTAAATAAATATTTGTTTAGATATAATTAAAGCAAATCTATTCACAACATAGAAGTAATTAAAAAAAAAACTCTTAAAACTTTTCTAATAAACTTAATTAATATTTATCCCTCGATGGTGAATTAATTGATGTCTAATTTTAATTTCGACTGAGTTTGTAACAGTAGAACTCACATACATGCTATTTACATCGAATGATAATATGTTCATTAAATGGTTGAGTAACATTACAAATAAATTATTGAAATGAAAATTAATTTCGCTCGAGGAGTTATTTTGAATTTCTGTTGCGAAAACTATTTCGCAACTGCTATCTAGGAAATCTAATGAAAGTTACCATAAAATGACCAAAGCAATTTACTTGCAACGATCTGTTTTAGTTGCCACAATATCACAAGGGAGTAATCTTTCATCAATAGCTCCATTGGATTTCACAAGTGTAACGTGTAATATCTTACCATCATCTAAATCGATAATCCTTACCTTAATAGTTCAATATGTATACACAGATATATTCTTGACAATATTCTACATGAAATTAAAATATATCTATTAATTTCTTAATATTTAATATTTAATATTTTTCTATTTTTTTATTTATTCATTTTTGTATTATTTATATTTATTTTTATTATTTATTATTAAATAGTAAAATTATTTGTTTTTCTAAATGTATTAATATAATTTTCAAAAAAGTTATTATCGTAAGATATTTATGAATTTTGGTTAAATACAAATGAGAAGTTAAGAGAAGCGACCCCCCACCATGCAAGGAAGTAGACATGGAGGGGAGCCGCTTCTCTTCGCCCAGTGCTCGCTGGTCCATCGCTTGAGCAACACCCTCGATATATATTTTAATATTTATTAATATTTATATTACTATTTATTAATATTTATATTTATTAACATTTATATTAATATTTATATTAATATTTATATTATTATTTATTAATATTTATATTAACATTTATTACTATAAATATTTATTTAAAAAAATTATTAGTATGTTTCTTTCCTGTTTTTTGAAATGAAATAAAAATTCGTATTTTCATTTTACTAGAAAAATTAATTGCAAAGGAAATAATTTTGTTTAATAAAATAAAATCTCTCATTTCAAAGCAATTTGACTTTGAACATTTTTTTCATAATTCTACGACAATATTACTTTCACAAATAATTATTTCAAAACCATGTAGTACAAATATTTACGAGGAGAAGTGCCTAGAAAAATATCTTTGTCCACTAAATCCGAGTAATAATGGCCGTACCAATCATGAGACCAAAGGAACAATTTTCCTTTTGAGTCGCACAAAAGAACTTTTCTAAATATATGTACTATTCAGTTTCTTTTTAAAATAAAACTTTTCACAAAGTCGCAAAATATAATAAAACTAAAAAATTAACTACTGCATCGAATTTTAAACTACTTTTTTTTTAAAGTGCAAAAACTTGTAATTTATCATCTTTTTTTTCTCTTATTACTTTATAAAAAGTTTATCTGCAAATCATTCAATTTAAACGGTTCTGAGAATTGACATTATTCTTAAATGTCGTATAATAAATTTAAATTGATAGTTTTGATTTCATTCATTGTCACTTGGGAAATTAGTTTTGGAACTAATTAATTTAATTAGTTCACTTTTGTTTCAGACAGCAATTAACCATAATTGAATTGTTCCTGTAGTTATAAATAATGTAAAACCATTCATTTTAATTAAAAAAAATTTTTTAAAGTATAACGTAATATTTTTTGTTGTTGATATTTTTAAATAAAATTTCTTTCTATTGTCATTGGATAAATAAAACTTTTGCGATATTGATCGAAAATATTTAGGTGTAAAAAAAATATTTCAAAACGCTCTAAAACTCATAATAAATGCAAAAAAAAATAGAAAATAAATAAAAATATAAACTAAAAGTTTGATTCGTATCGAAAATTGGAATTTCTTTTTTTCTGAATAAAAAATAAAAACAAAATTGATAAAAAATGAAATCGCAAGACTTTGAGAAAACTTGAAATTTAATTAAACCTGATAAAAAGTTTTTATGGAAGCATTGAAATATAAGATGCCATACAAGAAAATAAGAAAACAAAAAATTATAATTCTCCATTCTCTTCTATATTCAATAAAAGTCACCACTGATAAAATTTGTTTTTGAAACTACATTTTTCGCTATACCTCTCAACTTTACTATTCGCAAAAAATAGCGCTAACAAGATGATTGTTAGAAATTTTTTTTTGTCATGCCATTATATCTATTTTAAAAGTTCTTATGAAAAAAAACTCTAAAAAAAAAAATACAGGAAAAAAAAGAAGTGTATGTATTCTTTGAATTTCAGGAACAAAGCATATTTTTTCCATAGATACACATATTTTTTTGTTATACAGAAAAATTTAATTATTAACCATGTTGAATCTTTACAAACACACAAGTTTTAAGAAAAAACAATGGAAATTATAAAAAACAAAAAATAATTCACATATAATTTTACATTTTTTTTTTTAATAAAAAATCTTGTTTTAGAATTGAGAGAAATGGAGAATTTTTTCTTCTCACGTTTTAATTCATTTTTCCTCTCATGTTTCAATTTTATTGTTCTTCCTACGACTTTTTTACAAACATTAAATGAATAAAATAAATATAATTAAATAATTTACTAAATAAATTAATAATAATGGTAATAATAATGGTAATAATAATAATAATAATAATAATAATAATAATAATAATAATAAAATAATAAAATAATAAAATAATAATAAAAAAATAATAATAAAATAAATATAATTAAATAAGTTACTATAAGTGAAATAAAATGAATAAATATAAATGTTTTTTTTTGTGCTAATAAATATTTTTGATTCTATGCGTAGACTAACGACAGGCGAAAAATTACAACAACGCGTCCCTGGTAAACTAAATGTGCGGGTGGTACAGTAGGTTACGAGTACTAAGAGCGCCACAAAGAGTTCATAAAAATTCAACAATAAAAGAGAAGAAAAAAAATCAAGTTGTTAAGAACAGAAAGATTCCATTTTTATCTCCTTTTCTACTTGTTCAAAAGTAAGTTTCTTTATTACTGTAATCTTCTGCAAAAAATATTATTAAAAAATAAAACGAATATTTAATAAAAACTCTTATTTTTTCAATAATAAAAAATTTTTTTAAATACTATTACAATAATAAAAAATTTTTTTTATATACTATTGCAATAATAAAAAAATTTTTTTAAAATACTAATACAATAATAAAAAAATTTTTAAAAATAATATTACAATTTTAATAAAAATGTATTTATATTCATATTTATTATAGTAATATTTTTAAGAACAAATTATTAAAAACAAAATGAATAAACGAATACTTGTTGAAAAAAATTTTTCAATAACTTGTTACATTCTCATAAAAAATGAAAAGGTCTTGAATTTTTTGCTATTTATAAAATTATTTTGAAACAATAAAAAATGTCATTCGAAAGTTTATTATTAATTTATATTCATTATTTATTAAAATATTTTATTTGTTATTATTTTATTGCAGTAATATTTTTGAAAACCTTATTGAATAGATAAAAAAAACGAACATTTATGAAAACTTTTTATTCTTACAATATATATATATTTTTTTTAAATATTGCTACAATAAAAAAGCTGATTGAAATTTATTACAGTAATATTTCTCGAAAAAAATTATTATTAAAAAATAGAACCAATACTTATTAAAAATTTACGCTTTTCCAATAATAAAATTTTTATCCATAAATTATATTAGAACAATAAAGTTTTTTTTACGAATTATTCTTATAGTGAAAACGAGACTGATGTTTTGGAATGAAGAAAATTGAGTAAAGTGTAGAAAAAAAATGTGAAGCACTTTATGTGTTGCTATATATATTTTGTAAAATACGTTTGGTAACAAAATCCAGGAGAGAGAGATATCATAAAGTAGTTTTTTTTTTGGGATAAAATACTTGGAACTTTGTCCTCACTTTTTATGGAGAAACTATGTTTGTCTATGGACCGTCATCTTTCATAAAAGCTTTCAATTCCACCATCTATTTTATACGATCGTTAACAAATATGAAAATTTCCAGTTGTTATTGTTTTCTATTATTCCCATTAAGAAACGGGAAAATGTAAATTTATTTACTACTCAAAATAGAGAAAAACAAAAAATATAATTGCAATTCAAGTTTCTTAATGTTAGAAAAAAAATAGATACAATTTTTTTTTTTTTTGAGAAAATAGAAGTCGTAGTTTTTTATTTTTTTGGTAAATTTATTTTTTTGAATAAAGAATTGTACATTTATGTTTTTTTAATAATGAAATACTGGCAATAATATTCCATATAATGCACTTTTTTTGTTGTTGGATTTATTTTTAATTTATTGCTTATATGCGGACAATACCGGATACGTATTTTTCATTATAATTCAAACAACGTCAAAGTTGGCACGAGTGCCAAGCTGGCTTCGTTCCGGTATCAATAGCAACTGTGTGATTTAATGTGCAGTAAAATAAAAATTAACATGAGGTCTTTGCAAAATATATCGCAAACAAGTGTCAACAATAAAAATAAATAAACCGTTTTTCATATTTAATGGCTTTGCATCACAGGTGATTAAAAAAGTATGAATCTAACGGCTTTTAAATTTTTAATATTATTATTTATTTTCTTTATTTTAATTTTTATGTTTTCTTTGTTATACTTTATTTATTTATTTATTTGCAAAATATACGGGCTCACGTTAAATTAAAAAATGGCTTTTTATTTTTCTATTTTATTCTGGTTTCATTTAATTTTTGTATTTGTGAATTTTGATTGAAATACAAATGAGAAGTTAGGAGAAGCGACTCCCCACCATGCGAGGTAGGAGACTTGGAGGGGAGCCGCTTCTCTTTGCTCATTGCTCGCTGGACCATCACTTGAGCAACACCTTCGATATATATTTTAATATTTATTAATATTTATTTATATTAATATTTATATTATTATTTATATTAATATTTATATTATTATTTATATTAATAATTATATTAATATTTATTACTATAAATATTTATTTAAAAAATTTATTAGTGTATTTCTTTCCTGTTTTTTTTAAATGAAATGAAAATTCGTATTTTAATTTTACTAGAAAAATTAATTGCAACGGAAAAAAAATGTTTTCCAAAGAATAAAATTCTATTTTGTTTTCTTCTTTGACTTTTTTATTTTATTTATCTTTAAATCAATTAAAATGCTTTTTCTTTCATAAAATCTACATTGTCCATATTTTTTCAGATTTATATTTAGTTCACATTGAATAATATAAACAATTGTAAAAATGTAATAATGAAAAATACAATATTTATTAAAAATAGAAATACAAAACTCCAGCTGTCGATTTGCGTAAAGCTTTACATAACTTGTAATCAGTAAATCTGTTTGTCTTATAAAAGTAGATATTCTATTACACAAGAAAGTTATAAGAACGACTAAAATAAAACAAATATTAATTACATATTTTTTTCACAATAAAATAATATTTGTTATTAATATTTTTTTTTTATTTTTGTAAAATATTTAAAATTAGAAATGTTTTTTCTTAAACGACGTTCTCGAGTACTTGAGGAATAAATATAGATTCTAAATACTTGAGTACACGTGAATTCGTTTGAAAACTTGAAAGAAGCCTCTCTTTCTCTCTCTTCGCTATCAGGAAATTATTTGTTAAATAAATAATCAAAAAGGTGATTCTATTTTCATGAAAATTGTTTATGTTGATTACAGGTTGCAGCACGGAAATAACTATGAATGTGAAAACAGTTCTATATTCTCATCATCAGTTGGTAATGTACACCTCAATCATGGTGTACGTGCTCTGATTCGAATTTAGTTTCGTAAAGATTTTAATTACATAAACGAAAGAAAGAAAAAAAAATGTCTCTTTAATAAACAAATGATTCAATTTTCAATGAAACAATAGGAGAATTGTTTCTTATTGTAAAAAAATTATTAAAAATTCGAATAGAAGTAATAAAGAAAATAAATTGAGAACTAAAAAGAAGAAATAAATAAATGAATGGAAGTAAATTAAAATTCGAAATGTAGAGTAAACAGAAAACTGTCAAAAACAGAAGTATGGAGACAACGTAAAAAAAAGAAAAATTGTTTGGGAGACAAAATTTTTTTTTTAGATAACAGTGAAATTTATTATTGGAGGATAAAAAAAAAATGTTGAACCTCACGAGTGAATTATCGATCACAATGAGTGTTAATTGCTCTATTGATGAGAGTAATTGTACAGAAGAGCCCTATTTGCCGTACAGTGACAGGCCAGAAACGTATATCTTGCCATTCGTCTTTTTATTTATTCTCATCGTTGGAGTCACTGGAAATGGTGTTTTGGTTCTTACAATTTTACGTCATGCCAATATGAGGAACGTTCCCAATACCTATGTTCTTTCACTCGCACTTGGAGATCTTTTGGTAAATACAATCATCAATAATAGTCGTCTTCAAACTAAATGATCAAAAAATAAAAGCTCCATGGCTGTAAAAAAAAAATAAATATTGCTGCCAAATTGTGTGCAAAAAAAAGAAAAACATGAAATTGAATTTGTAAAAAAATTTCCCAAAAGAAAAGATTTTCAAATGTTTTCGCAGTTTTTACACTTTTGACCTTTTACAAAATTTTTGATCATTTAGATTGTAATTTTTAGAAAAGACTTTAAGCAACTTTAAAATTTATGATCAATTTTAAAATAAGTGGGTATTTTTTTAAATTAAATCTCGTACAAAGTCAAATAAATAAAGGGAAGAAAGAAGTAAGTAAATAAACAAATAATCTAAGAAATAAATAAGTGAATTAATGAATTAGTAAATAAATAAATAATCAAGGAAACAAAAAAATAAATAATTTAGTTAATAAATAAATAATTAAGTAAATAAATAAGTTAGTAAATAAATAAACAAATAATCTAATAAATAAATAAGTGAATTAATGAATAAGTAAATAAATAAGTTAATTAATAAATAAGTTAATAAATAAATAAGCGACTAAGGAAATAAACAAATAATCTAAAACATAAGTAAATTTATGAATATGTAAATAAGTAACCAAATAAGTAAATAAAATAATAAATAAAAAAATGAATGAGCAGATAAATAAATAAATTAAAGTTATGAAAAAAATGGAAAATAATTGTTAACAAAATGAAATGTTTAAAATTAAAAATTATTATTACAATCTACATTGAAATAGCAATTACAAAAGAAGAAGTCAATTTAAAAAGACAAAGCTTATTTTTAAAATTGTACAATTCTAATAAGAATAATATTGATTTAAAAAAAAAGAAAAAAAAATAACGACAATGAAACTTTTAATTCTCTATTATGCGAGCATAATATAATGGTTAAATGGAAAATTGTATCGTAAATTTTCATTTGTAAAACTTCATTTGTCGACTGGCAATTATTTTAAAATTATAATTTCAAAATACAACATACCTACCAGTTCTTTGTATATATATATATACTATATACTATGTATTGCAGCAGTATATTAAATTTTTGAATAAATCTTACAAGAGAAACTTTCAAAGCTTCATGACAAAAGGATTCGTTAAACAATTACTCTTGACGGGTTTTGAAAATCTAGAAGCAAAGAGTAAGATTTCATTTAATTTTCATATTAAATTTCTATGAATAATACACTTCATAGTTTCTGCAAGCGTCTTTTATCATTATAAACACTTGCTTATAAAGGAATTACTATAAGTATATTGAAAGTTTTAAATTTAAATAACAAAAATTCTATTTCGTATTTATGAATTCTATATTAATATTATTAATCTTTTACTATTTTCATTTGATTAACTGTTAGAAATTAAAATTTTAAATTGTTAATATTATTTTTATTATTATTATCGTTTTAATTAAAATTATTGCCTCAGTAGTACAAGCAAATTTCTAGTCAGACAAATATTTGTATTATTATGTTCTTTTATTATTTTTATTAATATTATTTTTCCAGTAGTACAGGTCAATTATTAGTCAGACGAATATTAATATTACTCTTATTGTTATTATTATTAGTACTTTTATTGTTGTTTATATTATTTTTATTTTTATTTCTATTTTAATTCATATTTGTCTCAGTAGTAAAAGTAAATTTCTAGTCAGACGAATATTAGCATTATTGTTATGATTTTTTTTTAATTATTATAATGAATAATATTTTTTCAAGTAGTACAAGTAAATTATTAGCCAGACATATTACTATTATTATTTCTATTATTATTTTCAATATTATTTTTATTAATATTATTGTCTCAGTAGTACAAGTAAATTTCTAGTCAGACGAATATTAGTATTATTATTATGATTTTTTTAATTATTATTATGAATAATATTTCTTCAAGTAGTACAGGTAAATTATTAGTCAGACGAAAATTAGTTTATTTCTATTGTTGTTATTATTGTTTTTTTATTATTATTAATATTTAAAAAAAATTATTTAAATAAAAAAAAACAACAAAAATCACAAAATATTAATAATATTATTGTTTCAGTAGTACAAGTAAATTATTAGCCAGACGTATTACTATTATTATTAATATTATTATTGTTATTTTTATTTTCAATATTATTTTTATTAATATTATTGTATCAGTAGTACAAGTAAATTATTAGTCAGACAATTATTATTATTATTTTTATTTTTATTTTTATTTTTATTTTTATTACTATTATTTATATATTTATTTATTTATTGCATTAACACGTATTAGTTATTAATTATTAATATTTATAAATATAATTTTCTAAACTTCAAAAAAGTTAAAAATATTTAAAGGAATTTAATATTTCATAATTTTTTGTTGTTGTTTGTGAATATCGTCAATTATTCTAAAATACGAAAGTTGTAAATTTAATTTAATTTTCTTTATTTTCAAGGTAATTTTGACATGTGTACCATTCACTATCACTGTTTATGTGATCGACTCTTGGCCATTTGGACTTATTCTCTGCAAGATTTCAGAGTGTGCAAAAGATATATCAGTGGGTGTTTCGGTATTCACTCTGACAGCACTTTCAGCTGATAGATTTTTCGCTATCGTTGATCCAATGAGAAAACTTCATGCCACTGGTGAGTATAAAAATTTTTTTTATTCCACTTTGTTTTTTATTTTTTTCCTCTCCAATGATTAATAAAACGAAATAAATTGAAAAAAATGTTGTCTTTGTAATTTATTTATTTTTTATCAATTAATTAATATTATATATTTAAATATTAATATCATAGTGTACTATTATATTAATAAATAGACATTATTTAATAAAAAATAATAAGAAAAATAAATGAATCAAAATATTATTTTAATTTAATATGTAAAGAAATGGAAATAAATAATTGAAAAAGAGAAAAAAAAAATTATTTTATAATATTATAAAAGTTTAATGAAGCAATTTTCTGATAAGAAATACACGTTTTTCATTAAGATTTAAAGTATGCAAAAAGAATTTAATCTAGGTGGCGGAAAGCGAGCTACTAGATTTACATCTTCGATAGCGACTCTGATTTGGTGTCTAGCAGTGATTTGTGCAACACCAGCAACTTTTTCCTATATTAGAGTATTTCGAGTTAATAAGGACGTAACTTTTCAGGTAAATTTACCAACGACATATTTTTTCTTTTTTAAATACTTTTTTATTTCTTTTTTTTCAACTATAATATTACAATAACTTCTATTTATATTCTTTAGAAAGAAAGTAATTATATCTCAAATTTATGATTATTACTTTTTTTCAACTTAATAAACATTAATTATAAATTTTACTTATGAGATAAAATTTATAATAAGGGAAATTTAATTTAAAAAGAAATCATTTTTATTGTAAAATTTATAAGTATTATATAATTTAATATTTTAATCAAATGAAATTAATTTTTCGAAAATATATATTTGAAGAATATTGTCGAATTAATTCAAAAATAAAAATAAAAATACTGCAATCAAATATACATTTGATTGCAGTATTTTTATTTTCGTTTTGAATTAATTTAAAAAGGAGGAGAATATTAAATTTTTCAATATTGAAAATCCCAACAGTTTGAACGATTTTAATGATTGTTTATTGAAAAAGAGATAAAGTGATAAAATTTTGGTTTGGATTAATTTTTGATGAGATTGAATTTCAAATGATGATAATTATTTCATTTGGGAGAAATAAAAAGCAGTGAAAAATTGTAGTAAAAAGGATTCATTTAAATTTTTCAGTATTTTATGCTTTTAATTTAATAATATTTATTTATGTTTATTCCTAATTTATTTATTTTAATATAATTATAAGAATTTAATTTTTACAAAGTTTTAATAATAGTTTTAAATTTTTAATTAGATTTTAATTTTGATCGAGTTGGTATTTTGTATTTATTTCAGTTTTAATTTGACTTTAATCAGATTTTCATTTTGTATTAATTAGTTATTTATTAATAAGTTATTTATATCAGATTTTATCTACCTCTATTTACTATATATACTACTAAATGGTGAGAATTTTTAAATTAATTTATAATTTTCCACAGACTTGCTATCCATTTCCTGAGGAATTTGGACCAAATTATCCCAAAACAGTATTATTGTGCAGATTCTTCGTTTATTATGCTATTCCACTAAGTATAATTGCTGTATTTTATTGTTTAATGGCTAGGCATTTAGTTCAAAGTACTCGTAATATACCTGGCGAAATGCAAGGTCAGGTAAGCTTACCATTTCTTTCAATATTTTTTTAAATATTATCCTTAATTTTTTTTTTATTTTCTATTGTTTATTTTTTCGAAAACTATATTCAAATTCTCTTTCACTTTGTGTAAGAGAAAGTTATTTTTCAATTTTAGTGGAAATATATTTCGAAACGCAGGGAATAAATTTAGAAACGTAAAGAAAGTCAAAACGGTCACCCATCCGGGTACTAACCGCACTGAACGATGCTTAACCTTTGTGATCGCGAGTAAAAAATTATTTCGCCCTCCGAGATACTTTACTATTTATTTTATTCGTAAATTTTATGTGGAAAATTTATAAGATTGTTATAATAAAAATTCATTAAAAATGAAAATAAAATTTATTGAAAATGAGAATAAAATTTATAAAAAATAAAAAAAAAATGTATTCAAAATGAAAATAAAATTTATTAAAAATAAAAATAAAATTTATTAAAAATAAAAATAAAATTTATTCAAAATAAAAATAAAATTTATTCAAAATGCAAATAAAATTTATGGAAAATAAAATTCAGTAAAGTATTAGAAAACCTCGAAAAAATCGAATTAGTTTTTAACTAGTTTTTGTCATTTAGTTTGTTTTATTGTTATTTAGCGTCAAAAAATGATGGGCTCAATCTAGTGCAGCATTATGTTGTTGCGACGAAATGTAGTTAAGAGTTCTTTCATTCATTCACTTTTTCTGTCCCTCACACTCTGAAGTTGTCTTCTGTTTATACTTTTGTTCTTTGTTAACTTTAGATATATTGTATATTATATTATTATGTTGTAATTATTTTTATTTTATAATTAATTCAAAATTGAAATGACAAATAGAAATCATCAAAAATTTTTTTACTTCTTTTCATTAAAAGACTAAAATTTTGTTAAATATTATGATTTGTCAAATTGAAATTTTACAGATTTTTGTTCTTTACTTCTAAACAAAATTAGAAAATTGTTAAACAACTGTGATTCACAGAAAAAAGTGAGTGTTATTTTAACACTGAATTCGGTGTTAAAAGTGTCTGCATCAAACTTTAGCTCGGAAGTGTTATTTTAACACTGAAAATAAGGTAAATTTTCTATTATAGAAAATTTATCCTCACTAAAATTACCCTACCAAAATTTACCCGCATCAAAAACAACACTCGCTTTTCTCTGTGTTAAGAAATAGAAAATTTATTTATTTTGCATTATTTTTGTTTATAGATCACAAGTTTTTGAACAAAATTATTATTTTGTTTTAGAAAAAGAAGAAAAATATTTGCACAATTTCTATTTTTAATCTTAATTTTGGAACAGGATTTTCCACAGGAATTAAGACATTCAAAAATTTCAAATTCAAATTTTCAATTATTTATGAAAATAATTGAATTCCTGTGAAATTTTTATTATTTATGAAAATAATTAAATGTTTGCATACAATTTTATTAAAAATTCTTTTTTAAACAATTGAATTCTTTTTGGGAAATTTTATTAAAATAGTAGATATTGAAAATCATTGAATTAAGAAAAATTTTTGAAAATAATTGAAATTAGGACAAGAATTTTTTTGTCATTTATGAAAATAATTGAACTTTGAAGAATAATTTTATTATTTATAAAGATAATTGTGATTTTTACTAGAATCTTTTTTAAATTTTTAACCTAGTTGAATACTATAAGAAGAATTTTATTTTTTTTATAATTGAATTTCTGAAATTATTTGTAATTTCTCTAAAATTGAATTTTTTTTAGTGTTTTCAACAAAAATTTTAATTAGAAAATTTTTAAATTCTATTATTTTCAAAATTGCTAATTTTGTTTAAAAAAAGGTAGTAAGAAGTTAGTTAATGTTGCTAGTTATTATTAAAATTATTATTATAACTAGCCAAACTATCCGCGCGCAAGCGCGCGGGAATGTTGTATGGGGCTGCTTATTTTAAACAATTTAAAAAATTTTAAAGAAATAATTATTATAACCTAACAAAGAGATTTAACTAACTAAAATTCAAATAATTTCACTCAATGGTCTCAATTTAAATAGAATTTACATTACTAGACTTAAACTATGGCTAGAACAATTACAATTAGTATCTGGGTCATCTTTTGCATTGCTTATTTTATAAAGCCATTTTAAATTAAATACTTTTTAAAGAAATAATAATTATTATACACTGAAAAAAGTTTTACTTGAAATAGCGATAAGTTTCTCTAGAATAACGAAAGTATTCTATAAGTATTAATAAGTAAAGTATTTTCTAAAAGCATAAAAATTATGAAGCTAAATCCCATAAAAGAGAAGAAAAAATGTTGAATTTTAAGAAAATCGGATTTTTGAATTTTTTCGAATTTTTGATAATTTTAGATTTTTTACCAAAGAGTCGAGACTATTAAATAAGTAAAGTATTTTCCAAAAGCATAAAAATTATAAAGCTAAATCCCATAAAAGAGAAGAAAAAATGTTGAATTTTAAGAAATTCGGATTTTTGAATTTTTGATAATTTTCATTAATTTTAGATTTTTTACCAAAGAGTCGAGACAATTTAATAAGTAAAGTATTTTCCAAAAGCACAAAAATAATGAAGCTAAATCCTATAAAAGAGAGGAAAAAATGTTAAATTTTAAGAAATTCGGATTTTTGAATTTTTTCGAATTTTTGATAATTTTAGATTTTTTACTAAAGAGTCGAGACACTTTAATAAGTAAAGTATTTTCCAAAAGCACAAAAATAATGAATCTAAATCCCATAAAAAAGAAGAAAAAATGTTGAATTTTAAGAAAGTCGGATTTTTGAATATTTCATAATTTTCGATAATTTTAGATTTTTTACCAAAGAGTCGAGACTATTAAATAAGTAAAGTATTTTCCAAAAGCACAAAAATAATGAAGCTACAGTACCGGCCAAAATTGTCAGTCCACCCATTTTTGAAGGAATGAAAAAAATTTTTTAACATAAAATTTATGAAAACTCAAATTTTTTTTTGGTTTATATTTTGAAAGACGATAAAATTTTGAAAAGAATAAGACCTCACAGAAGTCATTTGGCAAATATTTTTTCAAGATATTCTTAAAAAATCGTCATTTTCAATGTTTTACAAAAATTTGAATAACTTCTAAAATAATGAACGCTTTTTAATAATCTTAGGCTTATTTTAAAGGTCGTTTTCTACAGAATAAGAATTACTTATAGGCATTAACCTGTAATTTTTTTCTTGGAATAAGCATGACGTCAAAGTTGGACAAAAAAATTAGAAAAATTTGAAATAAATTTTTTGTACTAAAAACTATTCTAAAACATATATAAAACATGATATGGTGTAGATTCTTCAAGAAAATTTAATAAAAAAATATGTTTGAATTTCAAAAATTATTTTTCTTTTAATAATATTGTTTCAAATTTTTTGAATTTTTTTGTCCAACTTTGACGGCATGCTTATTCCAAGTAAAAAATTACAGGTTAATGCCTATAAGTAATTCTTATTCCGTAGAAAATGACCTTTAAAATAAGCCTAAGATTATTAAAAAGCGTTCATTATTTTAGAAGTTATTCAAATTTTTGTAAAACTTTGAAAATGACGATTTTTAAGAATATCTTCTACAAATTTTGGCCAAATGACTTCTGTAAGGTCTTATTCTCTTCAAAATTTGATCGTCTTTTAAAATATAAACCAAAAAAAAATTTAGTTTTCATGAATTTTATGTTAACAAATTTTTTTCATTCCTTTAAAAATGGGTGGACTGACAATTTCGGACGGTACTGTAAATCCCATAAAAGAGAAGAAAAAATGTTGAATTTTAAGAAAATCGGATTTTTGAATTTTTTCGAATTTTTGATAATTTTAGATTTTTTACTAAAGAGTCGAGACTATTAAATAAGTAAAGTATTTTCTAAAAGCATAAAAATTATGAAGCTAAATCCCATAAAAGAGAAGAAAAAATGTTGAATTTTAAGAAAATCGGATTTTTGAATTTTTTCGAATTTTTGATAATTTTAGATTTTTTACCAAAGAGTCGAGACTATTAAATAAATAAAGTATTTTCCAAAAGCATAAAAATAATGAATCTAAATCCTATAAAAGAGAGGAAAAAATGTTAAATTTTAAGAAATTCGGATTTTTGAATTTTTTCGAATTTTTGATAATTTTAGATTTTTTACTAAAGAGTCGAGACACTTTAATAAGTAAAGTATTTTCTAAAAGCACAAAAATTATGAAGCTAAATCCTATAAAAGAGAGGAAAAAATGTTGAATTTTAAGAAATTCGGATTTTTGAGTATTTCATAATTTTCGATAATTTTAGATTTTTTACCAAAGAGTCGAGAATATTAAATAAGTAAAGTATTTTCCAAAAGCACAAAAATAATAAAGCTAAATCCTATTAAAGAGAGAAAAAAATGTTGAATTTTAAGAAAATCGGATTTTTGAATTTTTTCGAATTTTTGATAATTTTAGATTTTTTACCAAAGATTCGAGACTATTAAATATGTTAAGTATTTTCCAAAAGCACAAAAATAATGAAGCTAAATCCCATAAAAGAGAAGAAAAAATGTTGAATTTTAAGAAATTCGGATTTTTGAATTTTTGATAATTTTCATTAATTTTAGATTTTTTACCAAAGAGTCGAGACAATTTAATAAGTAAAGTATTTTCCAAAAGCACAAAAATAATGAAGCTAAATCCTATAAAAGAGAGGAAAAAATGTTAAATTTTAAGAAATTCGGATTTTTGAATTTTTTCGAATTTTTGATAATTTTAGATTTTTTACTAAAGAGTCGAGACACTTTAATAAGTAAAGTATTTTCTAAAAGCACAAAAATTATGAAGCTAAATCCTATAAAAGAGAGGAAAAAATGTTGAATTTTAAGAAATTCGGATTTTTGAGTATTTCATAATTTTCGATAATTTTAGATTTTTTACCAAAGAGTCGAGACTATTAAATAAGTAAAGTATTTTCCAAAAGCACAAAAATAATGAAGCTAAATCCCATAAAAGAGAAGAAAAAATGTTGAATTT